TTGATGACATCTTATCTGTATTAATTTCGCAGTTCTATCAAATGAGTGGGGTAGTCGAAAGTCATTCTTGTGAGCCTGCCTGAAATAGCAATTTGGCGTAAGACGTACGGCTTCGTCTATCGCCAGTGCTACGAATCTTGAGCCCCACAAACGCTGCATGGAAAAGTAAAGCAGATATTTACTTGGCTATTTAACGAAATTTTCTGTATCACTCGACATAGTAACACTAAATGAATTTGGCTCATTATAGGTGTTCGATTAACTTGAAGGACACATTTTATCGTCAGATTTCCAATCTTAATTATAGAGGTGATTGAGAGTGTTTAACAAAAGAAAAACCTAATCACATGCCCCACATAATCAAGCTGCATAATGTTTTCCCAACTCGGTACAATACTCTGTCCTTGCTTAGATTAAATCTAATAAACTTGTGTGTCCCAGAGAAACGCAAACACTTGGGTAATATTCTATGTCACAAAAAAGAAAAGAATCATTTGCCCAACTCCGAGTGAACTGTCCCCTGCAGAAGAAATTAGTCAGTTTCTAATTAAGATTTGAAAGCACCGGCCCCGAGATAAATGCGTCGACTCGAGCTATTACCTGAGGTACTGATAAACCTCTTGAAGCGTATCAGACTTCATTTTCACAGGACTACGCTTGGTTCGGTTCTTTCTACCCTTCAAAAAATGTTTGTTGTGATTAAGAGGTTGTTCTTTTCGTATTTAAAGCAACACTCTTTCTTCGAATCATGTTTACCTGCTAGTACTTTTTGGAACTTATGTAGAAATTTCCTGGCATCTACTTAGACGGACTGCATGTCTGCGCACTTATCCCTCCAAGTGAGCCTTTTTACCTTGGTTACTTCACAGCCAGTAAGCAAAGTTATAGCGTACTACCACTATGTTAAGTGAAATCGCATTGCGATGCAAACAATCGAAGTTCTCTGACCGGGCGCACATAAGACCAAACATGTTATATTCAGATACTTTCGCATGTAAGCTCGGACAGATTAGATATATACATACAGCCCGTCTAAGTCGAGCATTTCCCCAATGCCTTATTTCTAATATTGTATGTAAATAAAAACAGGATGTTTCAAAGAAATTTCTTACAAGTGTCAAATATGTGAATGCCGATGGCCATTTTTATTCGATCCCCTGCGTACTAGTTGCAATTCCGAGCCTGAAGCTCTCAGAAGTCGCCTCAAACTATTCCTTTTAAAATCAGCATTTAACGCTATCGTAATAACTGTGCATCAAGCGAACGAGGTGTACACTCGTTAAAGTGTCATTGAAATACTGCACCAACAGTCGTTTCCAACGGAGTTGAGTTCTGAGCAGGCCAAAGGTCCCAGAAATGCAGCTGTAAAAACGTGGAAAAAGTGTAAGAAGTGCAAAAAAAAGCGCAAGCGGTCTAATAAAATCTAAGCTGATCTGAAAAACCCAGTTGGAAATAGATATTCTCTTTTCTGAAAAGGGCCGTTAATTTCTGCATCAGTGGCTCAGGTATTTCAAAACTAAGGATCCTTCCGTCTACCTTAAAAACGTCTTTTTCACAAACGACATGAAAGACTGTCGATTTTACACAAAAAAAAAGCAAGTTCTTAATATGAATAGGCTTTGTCCCCTCCATGTTTCAAGCTTTACGTCCGGTGCCTACGTTATTCACTAGGTTATCACAAAGACGGGTAGGCTTTGTCTTGCGCGGAAGAACTGAGTTATCGGTGGTCTTTGAAATGATGCCCTGTTAGTCGGCACGCCTGGTTTGTGGGTTCGTACCAGAAATAATTGATTTTCGTTTGATGTAACGAATGAACGCATGCATATCTGGTACGACAAACAGCTCTCCAAACAATTACCCAATTATATATATGTTGGTTCAGCACTATAAAACCATCCCTTATAGCCATAAGAGTCCCTGACACGGTTCAGACTAAACGAACCCCTACGATTAACTCGAACCCCACTATCTTCTAAGTGACTTGCGCCTATTTATCATCGAGGCCCCTAATCATCCAAGTGCAAGGACAGACGACGAAGGTCATTGTCTCGTCAACCCATCCTGAGAGAAACCAAAAAAACATATCGTTACGCGACGTCTGAATGTCTGCAAGCCCCTCTTCTGTCTAGTAGTCCTCGCAGGACAACAATCCGTAAAATCAAACTACCGAACGGCTAATCGATGCCGTCGCTGGCGCTTGTTGCCGATGTACTCCATTTTCCGAGAGGCGTGTACCTATCAGCGATCAGGCAGGGGCCATAACGACCGCTTGCCGTGCTGATGTCGTAGGAACAGCGCGCTAGTGAGGTAGAAAATGGGAAGCGTCATTTAGATTTGTGTTGGTTTGATCAACGTTGGTGTATTAGCAGTGCGGCGTCCTATGGACGGCGGATTAGCAGTCGAATGGTAGTTGAAACTGCACTCTGCTTGCTGTATTGTATAGTACGACAATATTAATTTTAAGCATGCAACATAGTTTTGAGCTAGACACTAACCAGAAGCGACGAGATGTTGCGTTCCCTTAGTCCCGAATCAACAATAAAGAATTTCTTAATTTTTCCACATATTAGGAAAAATCAAATCTCAACATTAGACACTCAATTCTTTATACGAAAGCTTTACCTGGTACTTTTTCTAACTAACCGCCATCATGTGAAATTTCTTTAAGGCTATTCCAATGAAACCCGGGCAAATTCCAAAAAAACATTATCATACTTTCGTCATAATGAGCGTTGTTGCTAAGTGTATCCAATGTGCCGGCTAGCGAAACTTCAACAGATGGCTGATCTTTATATTGAAGCTGCCGTACTTCATATGAGTCATCTTGTTCAAATGCAGTCAACAGTCTGCACTAAGTTAGTCGGTACCGCGAACTAATGGCCCATGCCCATTCATTTATATCCTGGCAAGCGTAAATAGACCCGATAGGATACCTGCGCACGATCAGTATCCGTTTAATCAAGATGAATCGTACTGAAATGTAGGACCAACATTCGATTGGTTACTCATACATCGAAAGGCGCGATTTCAATTGCAAAAGAGCTAGAAACCACGGACAGGTAACCGGTACTGACTTCCTGATCTTCCGATTTCGAATATAGCAAATAAAGGGAAAACGGGGGCCAAACACACAATGTTTACAGCTAGCAAAAACGTATTCAGAGAATTTATAGTGCAACTTTCCAACATGTTGAATCAGACATAGCGCTTTTACTAAGAGAGACGCACGAATAGAAAGGATGGCTGCTGAGTGTATGTTTAACAATTTACTAAAGTGCTGCTCCACCTCGTATCGGTGGCAGGTAGCCATCAACATGAGGTGGAGTTAGGGGTAAGCTAAAGGTTCGCAAGAGTAGCCCAGATGAATTAGATATTGGGACACATTACGATATGGTGCGCCCGTGTACAGCCATACTGAAAAGAAGTAAATTAAAAAATATATATTTTGTTACTTTAATACGCAGGGACGTGCTGTGGCAAACCTACTAAAGTTATTTGAATTGAGCCAAGTGCTTGAGACAACTTAGGACAAAATCTCGAAATAGGTATGTGCAAAAGTAAATAAGGACATACGCCGTAATTAAATACTTAATACCTTGCCTTATGAATTCTGGACGGTATTTGTTTGTATCGATATTATACAAATTTAATGTCTACTACTGATTCCTACGTATTTACTGTACACAACAACGCCACATGTGGCGCTAAGCGTGCGATGAAGTAAGGAAAGTTTAATAAAATCCGCTCATATTTGCACCACACCTGTCGAGTTCAACCTTGGTAGTTAGCGCTTTATCCAGTCACCCCGGTGACCCCAATCTTATGAAGTAATGTTATAAAAGCTACAAAAGCGATAGAAGAAAGAAGAAGCTGATCGATTCAGCAATTGCCCGCGAAAATTACCACTCAGCTACGATCGTAGGCCGACAACAAACTTTCGATCAGTGTCATATTTAGCAGTTCCGTTGCCCTCAACAAAAAGACCTATCGGTACATAGAGTTCTACTATGCGTTTTAGCGTTGTCGATCCTTTGGTATAATTACATAATCGGCAGTGATAAAAGCTGCCATTAGCCATCAGCGTCAGGTCACCGACCTTTGGAGGCACTTCGGGGCAGCGCAGTCAAATTTGTGTGTGAGCGTAGCATTGTGACAAAGCGGGCCTGCAAACACTAGGACAGAACATGAAAGCTCATCTCTTAACAACAGGAGCGACTCATATTTTAGCCACTCGTTGTCCTTTCGAAAAATGAATTACCAAAACACACTGTGTTGTTTTCGTAACGTTATATCAACACGCTTCAGATGAGGTTATTGTTCTACTATGATGATGTTAGTCATAGCAAGCAAGCTTGGTACGTTAGCGCTGGTCTTAAACGGAGCCTACAAGCATTTTATCAGAAGTGCATGGTGTATAGTTTTGTAAGAAATCATTTACATTATAATCTCTCTTGTGCGTTTCCTTTCAAGTGGAGATACGAGTACCGGTGATAAACTATATACCATGTGGTCCGCAAAAACTAACCTTCACTACCATACGCCTTTCTGCTATAATGAACCGCTATTTCGACGCAAAAGTTTAAAATCATGGCTGGCGCTATCGTAGCAGCGTCATTCGTCCCATCGTACGCATGTACATGTAACGCAAAAGTTGACGATTCCGACTTTCCTTCAGCTCCTCCCCTTCGTCTCCTAGTTGTCCTTTTATTGCGAACGTTCTCCCTCGTCCCTGATTCCAAGATTTCTTGATGCTCCGTCATCCCACAGACTGCGTCGTGGACAACGAAGTCATCTTATTGCTGCTCGTATTCACTCCATACAGCTGTAAGTGCCCTACGTCGAAGAGAAGTAGTCACAGGTACGGACGAACCAGCATCAGCAAGACTGAACGGGTAATCTGAGCTGTGATGTAAGACCTTCTCTCCAGGTTACGTTATGTTTGTCTGTTAATCTATTTGCTATTGCCAGTCTTCCATGCATCAGTTCTCTGTCCTTCGTTGACGAAGCGACTTCACATTCGTTCCGCTCATGCGCGAAAGCTGTGGCCATGCTCTGCGCTAGGACGTGAGCTCTGTTGTGCCACGGCTGGCATAATCGCCGTCGCCACTGCTAGGGCTCCATGTTGGCCTATTGCTGCCTCGTAGTGCGTCTCTATGCTGGACTTTGTGTGGCGTCTGTGGGTGCGTGTGTGTGTGTGTGGGCCTGCGCACTCGTGTGCGCGTCCGTGAGTTGTTTTGGAGCGCCGCTTTGCAGTAGCTACCAGAGACGGAGCCAACGAGAGCTCGTTTGTGAACCGCACCGACTGGCCTACGAAATCGCTGTCGCTTAACGTTGCTCGATTCAGTGTGTCTCACCGAGGCAGCGGCTCCGGTGTTACGCCAGTGGAGGCGTCGAGCCCGATAGAGCAGAAAAGGAGCGCTAGTCGGCACAAATGGAATGAAAGGAACAACTGTTTGGCAAACGGCAGACACAAAGGGAAACGTCGTCTCCGAACGATAGTTTTACCTATTGTGCATTGATTAGCGTCGTCCATGTTCATTGTAACTGGTGACCTAGTTGCTAATCTTGCTGCTGTCGTTTCGATTTAACCGCCTGCTTGCCTAGTCAACTTTTCCGCTGTATCGGACGCTGAAGTCGTTCACGATAACAATACTCCTTGAGCGCTCCGGCGTTCGGTTCCATATCCGCCTAAACACAAGCAATTTATACGGAAATCGACGATTTGAGATGACGGTCAGGATAGCTGCGGTGATAATCTGTCCGCTAGAACACGTCAATGGGCCGCGCACGCAGCCACTATAGGTTTTTGTCTGTGTCGTGCGCGGAAGAGACGCAACCGATAGGTCTGTCCGTCCAAACCTGCTAGCGATATTCCGTTGCAATGAGGAAAATGGCTTCTGATTATATACGACATATTCTACAATAGGCGAGCAACGACGAATGAAATAATAGTAGAATGCGAACGTCAGGTTTGCAAAATGAACCCATTTACTTCAACCGATGAGTCTGGCTGTTGTTAGGTGTTGTTCAGTGTAGTGTGATCAACGAACTCAGATGGGCGATGCTGAGGTAACTGCGAATGCTCGGTGTGTATCTATGTAAAGTATAAGTGTTCATAGAGAAGGTAACGGACAGTGTATAACTAAGTACGCTTGTGGGAAGTTCTTTGCGTTGCGAAGCAACTCCTGGGAGACTCCCAATTCATCTCGCGGTCTCGTGTTGGTGGCTTGGGTGGATCGCATTCATCGATGTATGGAGGAAGCTTCACCGAAAGAATTCGAACGAACGACTTGTGGAAGTGTTGTTGAGTTGTGTGACAAAAAAAAGTAACAACAGCGACGTTTAAACTGAGCGCAATACGTAAATATCGTCAAGTCATTAGGTGAGAGCCGCTTACAGAATTCGAGGGAAGCTAAGGTGGATTGCTCGCTAGAGATTTTCTTTTCTTTATCTTTTAGACCGTAGGCGTATTGTACATAGTGCTCTTTCCGATTTAAACAGCTTTAACACACGAAAGAGTTTACGCCAGACAAAAAGACCTGCCCTGGACATCGTAGATTGCAACTGTGTATTACAGAACAGAAAGCAAGCTCCGAGCTATGAACTTGTAGAAACGCTGTGCAAAGTTTTGTTCTTCTGGTGACATAACTCTCTATATTGTTCTGTATAGTGCCTTTTACAACCGGTAAATATAATTTCAACTTGAGATCTTCAAAGTTAGTTAGCTTTTCTGCGACAAACATGGTTTTGAATATGTTGAATTAGTATTACGCTGTTATTTGCTCAGTTCAAAACTATGACAGTGATAATGATGTTGACTGACCAATCCACCGTACATCTTTTTTTTGGGGTTTTTTTTCTACAAAACAGCATCATAGTGGATTCAATCATTGTCGGTTCTGAACTTTTATGCTCATTAAAGGAACAGAAGAACGGACGCCACTGTTACGCTAGAATAACATTTTCACACAAGTATATCATACGTTTGGGTATATTTCTGCCCATCAATACGAGCGTATGAAACACAGTTGTTTGCTGCTAAAAAAAATTAGCGATCATCAGTCGCCCCGAGTCTTACGGCTGAGAACAATTCAAGCATATCGATGCCTTGTACGACCGCCACGGTTGCTCATCATATTAATAGCCACTCATCGAAATGACTGTTCCTTTTCCTTCAGCTAGTCTCAACAGACCCCTTCAGCCTAAACAGCCTAGGATAATACACTGGCAAACATTACGATGACAATACGTTCTTTATAGAGCCTTGACATCCATTTACTTCATGCCCCCCCCCCCCCCCCTTTGGAACCGACCCAAGAAGAAAGTATTCTTCTGCTTCGATTATCGAGCCGTATTTTTCTGTATGCGCAATACGTCACGAGTTGCTCATGTAACAGGTAAGAACATTCTAACATAGTTGATTTTAAGACTGAGACTATTGGTGGGACTTGCTGCCCTTGCTAATGATAGAGTTCTCTTCAAAGCTACCATTTAAACCGTGTGAGTAGTTAAACAAATGTGATGAATCAACCATGCGACTGTAACAGTCTTGCCTCATTGCTTTCCCTTTTCTACAAACATTTTGTGGTCAACTCGACAAGAATAAACTGAGAAAAACGTTGTTCGGCAGAGGTAAATGTCTGCCTCTTTCACGGTCGGTAGACAGAAAGCGAAAGGAAAACGAAACCCTCCTCTCATAGCATAGTCGTAATGGACCACATTTGCAGAAATTTAGAGGTAAACTGTTACAGTTAGCAGAAATTTATTACGATCTGCCTAGGTTTTCCCTGTCACTCACGTCACAACAGCAGCAAGATGATAACTGTGACTTTCGCTACGAATCGCCCACCTGCGCAACGGGCGCGCCATTAAATTCTCTGGCAGACCCCTCTGTCACAATGCGGTCGCATGAAGTCCGTCTTCATGACGAATTTTGTTCTGGTATTGCTCTGCCGACTCGTGGAACGTCACGCTGCTAGCGCGAAAAACAAATGGATATGTGTTCGGTGCAAGTCTGTTGCAGTCGCCCCACCCTGAAACGCCAACGGTCACAATCGTAACGTAGTCTATGTTCGTGCTACTGTTATCGCTCTTTTTACTGATGGTACTACGCTACAACTTGTGGAAGGCTACAAGATGGGTGTGAAAGAACGTCTTCGTTCTGTACGCCCTGATAAATAATTGTCTCTGGCCTTCTTCGTGGGTTTAGCCTAATGTAATGAGAAGAAAACAAATTATTGATCACCCTTTAAGGCGCTAACGGGATTTGGCTATTGTTTGTGCCGCTAGAACAGGGCATAATAGATCGACCGCACAACGTTTCATTACCGGTGGCGAGGAAGCTAGGGGAAGGCTGTTATTTAAATCGTCAGTTAGAAAAAAAACTATACGGATTGGAACTGTTCTATCATAGTGGAAGTTTATTGACAGACGAGGTACGGGAACCGCGTGATGTGATACCTCACATATTGCATTGCCTGGCTATCGTTGAAACACACACTATCAATAGCCAGCTGGCACGCTGCAGAAACATATGACAACCCAATGCACTTAACATATTGTCTAACTGTATAAACGGTGCCTCGAACTCGAACGTTTACTTTGTATGTACTCGAAAAAGCGTTTATGACAAAACTGTGCATTTTGTTTTTTTTTTTTGTTCATGTATTACATCAGTTAAATAACCGAACTGATCCGCAGAGCCGAGATATCTGACGTGACCAACCGTCTTTTGCTGATACGGAAAGCTTACGGGTGTGACGTTTCTCTATTATATTTCGTAATCAGACATCTTTACTTGAAGCGACTTTCATAGCTAGGTAGTCCTTACCTATTTTCTATCTGGTAATATTGGCTGAGTGCGCTTCGAGTGCGCATTCCATTCGTAGTGGATTCTTCAAGGTAGCTTTAAAATTATAAGCATCTTTTCGCATACACCATTCGTCCTAGTAATTTATATTTCGGACAGCATGTGAGTGACCTGGTAGGCTAGGTCGATGACTAGATATATAGCTAAGAAGGTAAAACTAGGTAAATAAGGTCAAGTAAACTCTGCTTGATTCAGCGTGTAGAAGGCTTTTCGTAAAATTCGTATAAATGCAAGAAGTTATGCTATTCGTAGGCGGTACTTAACTTTCTATATAGATTCTCCAGCAACCCAAATTGCTTTAATGTTTAGTGATAACTAAACTCAACTCCCTGTCACTGAAGGACGTAACAAGCTAGAGCTAAAAATCGATAACGGCTTATAGTAAAATAATCGATTTTGTCATGCTCTGCCATGTTTTAACTGCAAAAAAATCAAGGTCAACTAGCTGGCTCTAGAAAATGTTAGCACAGTCATTCTCCGTGCCCAGAACAGAATATAAGATATGTACAAACGCTGAAACGACACCGCTAAGTAGATCACGCCACCCCTCAATCGCCGTTTCGTAGCATAAATAATTGAAACACGAAACAACCGGAGCTGCAGACACACATGACTATAAGACAGAGATCTACTAGACACATTCTAAACTTCAAGGTTCGTACGGGTGTCCCTAAGTGGGCCACACGTAAAATTAGCCTACCATTAACGGGTCTGCACTTAGTGAGCACAATCCACCATCTCGAACCAGTGCAACATATGGATAATGTATACTATAGAACCCAACGGAATCGTGTTACCTCTAACGATCTCAATAGCTATTGTCTCCCAGTTCGTAGCTGACTAGTACAAAACGGTGCCATATCGTCCAGTCTTCATTCTGCCGCCTCGGAACGACCCCAGTTACTCATGAGCATCTGCACATTATTGTTTTAGCACACGCGCAGTTGAATGTTAAATAGTGAGTGTAACAGTCATTTTTTTTTTTGACTAACTATCGGTTCGTTTCGTCTCAAACGGATATGCAGGTGTTCCCAGCTAACCTGGCGGTAATGCTGGTAGTATGGGAATTGTACCTACTGTTGATACTATTCCAAAATATTAACCAGCAGCGACACGCAAAACGTTGTATGTTTTTACTAGAAAAAATCCAGAAGAGACTGGTACCCATTGGCCTATGGGTCGCTTCGTGTTTCGTCCGTGCGATAAGATGATGGCCCACCGTTGATGCCAAAGTTGCGCTTTGTCCTGAAATTAATTGTGTGACGTCGTTTGTTGATATGTAAACTTCTGATATATATATATATATATACAGTTATAGAAAAATACTTTACCCTATTATTTTTATATCGGCAAGTAGATTAGATAAAACCTGTACGGGACATAGGCTGAACCGTTTCGGCCGTACGTAATTCTTATGGAGATTCCAGTTGGACCAATCGGGCAGCTAGACTGTATCCGAAACAGAGCCTACATTATAAAAAAGTGCTAATATAAGCTGACCAATTAAATAAAGCTTGATTTCTCCGGTCGTTCTCAATGCTATCCAAAACAACGGATTCAAACGGTTAGCAAATTGAATGTGTCAATGAAACGTCACTATGACAATTGTGCTGACGAAACAGATCGACAGTATTGTGATAATAAAAAACTAGATAATAACAACAACAACAAAAGCTTAATGTAAATGAGCCTCGTTTCAACAGAAGCGTAGGCTTTTTTTTACCAAGATACTGGCTAATAGTAGAGGATTTGTAGATCTCCGTAGCGTTACCTAACAAAAACTTCTGAGTTTGGTTGTTGTCGTCGTCGTCAGACGACGACGACGACGACGACAACAACACAGGATACCTGTGTCAATCAATTAAGCGCAGACGATCGACATCATCATGTATACAAGGAAGACAATATTTTTAAATGTACGTTATTTATGACCGCCAACCCTATGGATCGATGCGTATGCGAAGAAAAGGATATTTCAGAAGTGCAGAGAAAAGGCTTTGTCGGCAAACCTTAGCAATGGTAGCTGTTGTTAGAAACACTAAAAGTAGACATTTACGCCCATTTGCACATCACTGTTTTATTAGCAGAATGGACGGCCTAGTAGGAGCGAAGGTGAGCAAGCAACAATTTCAATAAAGATTGTATTGATTCTGGCTGAGTAGGCCGGCATAACCATTAGTTTGACGCGAAGCTCTTCGCAGCTGTGCTAGATATATATCAGACGACGATCTGAATGACTATTACCTAATGATTTATACAATCGTCAATAAATTCTACTCTCGCTGGTCGACCATTGTGGATACTGCAGTTAAATATATAAAAGGGAGGTACGAACATTAACCCTACGATCAAAAGCTGAAGAGAGACATTAAATATACTAGGTATTTGATTTGAAAATAGCAAATTAAATTCAAACATTTTTCTAAGGCGCTGGATAACTAGGTGGAAAGCACTAGTACGGCTTAGTTAGCCTGCTCGATAAGTTCAGCCTTTCTTAGGAACCTTCAAAACTG